CTCCTTCCAACATCGGAAAATTATCTAAGTGATTCAGGCACAATCCGGAGACTTGACTACTAATTAAATGGGGTGGTTTTGAAAAGGGCGATCGGTGCCAATTTGGATCAGCTGGGCCAAAGGGGAAATGCTAGTTAAAACCGAATTTGCTTCACCCATAACATGGCAATTCGTGTGCAATGTAATAGATGGTGCGTATTCTTTCATAAAACTAATTTAACCTACACTTTTTTGTTAACTTCTTTCCATCTGTAAAATAGTTGACATTTGACATTTGAAAGTGGTACAATCAAACACATTTTTTGTCACATTCTGTGGCTAACGTCGACTTGAATTGCATGGAATGCGAAGAAGTTGGTCCATGAGATCCACGTCACTGCGACAGCTGCCTAGAAAGTGTCCCGAATGATATTGCACTAAGGGCCATCTCCGTTATAGGCTCCTAACCAACTTGGTTCCACAGCTCCGTTAAAACATCAAAATTTGACTTGAAAACGGCTCTCTTTTCCTCTCAGCTGCGTAAACGAAATTTCCTGTCAATTTTAAGGCGTCCATTGCCAAATCCCCATTAGTCTGGGTGAGTGAGCCATGTCATTTAACTTGTTGCCTCGTTCCTCCACTAATGCTAGTCACTCATTCTAAAACAAACAGGACACAAGAAAATCTAGGGAGATTGTATCCGCCTGTCATGTTAATTAAGATTCCATCTGATGGGCATGGGACTGCCGTGGATCGGGTGACAGGTTGAGGTGATAATGTGGATTGGACAGGGCAAATCACCCTGAATATCATGTTTGGGTCTTGTAGTGAGATGACAGACGATTGTATCGGAGTTGGTCGTGTAAAGCGAGAAACTGGTTGGACCTCAGAGCCGAAATTCTGATTGGTTACGCCTGAAGGTATATCGATGATGGCCTTGAGCTGATTGAAGGAATAAAGCCTAGTTGGTGTTGTGATTAGGTAGTTGTGTCGTGAATTCGTAGTTGTCGAAATCGCACAGGGAGGCAGCCACGATTACGCACATTCCGATTCAGCAGAGGAAATTTTTACGACCGCTTCGAGCGTTTCGCGTTAGTTACCAGTAGTCCCTTTGATGATGGTAGTCACGGGACACATGCAAACGCCGACGTGTAACAGTTGTTCGAGGCGAGACAACGCGTCTAAACCGTAGGGTTCCCTGGCTTACCCCTAACAACCAATCAATACTTCTTACCGGTGGAGAAGTTGCCTCTTCTTCATTGGCTAGTGTAAACGGCTAAGGAGATTGGGAAAATTCGCCCTCGCGAGGGCGGACATAGACGCCAGAAAATTACAGACTCGATCGGCAGCCTCTACGTATACCCTTTTTTTCTCAAACCGTACTTTTTCTTCGTTTGAAGCGGTCATCTTGTTCTTTAACCTACTCAGACCACCCGCAGTCTGTCGGATTGGTGAAGAGGGGCTTTTTAATGTTCTACGACTTACCACAACAATTTTCGTCCTATGTACTAGACATTCTGCCACTCATAGGTGGTTTATCCGACTAAATTAAAACTGTTGGATAATTAATGTACTATTATTGTTTTCGTAGGAATGAAATTCTGATTGGTCCAGGTGGAGGTACATTTGGAACAACATGGCACTGCCTATGGTTCTCAACCAATCACATTCGGCGCTTATCAAGAATAATAAAAAATTAAATTTTGTCGAGCTGAATTTATTAAACACGAAGCTGGAACATGTAGATGAGTAAGTAGATGAAAGAAGGCACCAGAAAGGTGCACACTGGTTTTACTAAACCAGGTTGGTCTACAAATGAAATTTCGCAAGCATTTAGCGTGCTGTGATTTCTAAGAGGTATTACCTAATGCTTACTGCGTTAAATTACAAATAACCTTTAGAAACACTATGGTGGGGAGTGAGGGGGATCCCAGACATTTCTCCCCTAAAACGCGCGCGCATACCATTCGTTGGTTGGCTTTCACGCTGACTTGAGGTAATGCGTGCGCATTAGCACGCCTGCACGATGCGTGCGTGCACGCAGGTCTTGATTGACACCGCTTCAGACAGCCATGAATCACCCTGTTTGATTGGCTTACTCTTCCGCGCGTCTGCCTATACGCGTCTCGGCCTATCACTTGCACATGACCTTGGGTCTGCCAATGACAGCTCTCGCGTGCACTGGTTGGATGGGTCAGGTGTGGACGTCCTGCGCGCATGCAGGCACTCGCCGCGTGCTCATTGGCTCCTGCATGTCAGTCACACCGCGTGCGTGCGCACACACCAACGCTGTTCGTGTGCCCCCTCTCGCAGTACTTATCGCATACGCACAGTCCTCTCTCTCCTCCCCTACCTCCTTCTCCATCGAGACCTCCTCTCGCATGTGCATTCTCATTTGCTCCCCCCTTTAGCAAACAAGCACAGCACCAGAATTTCTCTGAATTCACTCGACATAATAACTGTGTGTTCGTGATTGTGCGCCTATGTGCTTGCAGCAAGAATCTTGGATTTTTTTGGGAAATAAACTCCAACCACCAGTGCATATAAATTGGTGAGTTACGTCTGCTTATTGTTTTCAAATCACGTCTATGTGCGAATGTGATACTCATTTAAATTATCGACTTAGCATCCATTTTCGTCATTCAAGTCATCCTATATATTTAATAATCAATAATCAAATAATCAATCTGAGTGTGAATTTCCATCGAGTTCCTGGCTATCGATTGGCTGGGGTTGACTGTCGAGTTTAGGACCTAAAACCCCTCCACGCGGCTTCCAGCCAGTTTGGAGCGCTGTGTGAGGCCTGCGCTACCATATCTGTGCAGCGTGTCTACAAGCCGTTAACCCGGTGTAGAGTGATGCTTCCCTTTACCGTGTGTTTTCGTAGCTTGGCAACGTTGGTGTGGCGCCGACCCGGTGATTAGTCAACTCTCCCCAGTTTGATTCAGGAGTGTGTGAGTGTCGGACCCAGACAATACACGCTGCGCACTCGTGTTTTTTCTCCGCTACATCTCACACACACACACACACACTTCTGAGTCATTTCTCTGTCATAGCATTTGTGCAAACCGCGCCGATTGATGGATGTCGCTTGTCGAATGCCGCGTTGGTGGTGTACATTCATGTGTGTGTGTGCGTGTCTACAGGCCTTTTGTTTAATCACAACAATCTAGAGGGTTTAGGGCACACACCACCATCCTCACCGACGTCTCCTGTGGGTCACATGACTTTGAAATGCGAATCTTCGTGCCACCGAAAGAACCTCCTTTGATGATTACTCACTGACCCCTCTAGGCGCCAGCAACCAATATTTCAGACGCATTGCATTCACACGCAAGCGTGCGAACGAGAGATATGTCGGCTTGTTGCGGTGTACAGGTGCTGTCAAGACCGTGGGAAGCACCGTGGTGTGCTTCTGATGCCATGCTCACCACTACCACCGAGGATGCTTGTCTTTTCGTGTGTGTCTGGGGTGTGCGTTTTGCTCATTGCCGAATGCGTAGTCGCCTCCCACCATGATCCAGTTTGTCGTCGCGTTCACCAACCAAAGTTCGGCCTCCAGCTGAAAACTTACGCGCAAACCAACTTAGGTGTAGGCGTAATTAGACGTGCTCGTGTTGATCTGGCCACAGGTTAAAACAAATAACGTCACTGCGCCGCATGACGACATCAAGGCCGGATAAGACAAAGTGCACCAGACGATGCGTGGTCGTAACGGTTTGGTGTCTGATCTTCGATCACCGTAATTTCGTTTTCTTGGGACACGGTCACTCCAATTCTAGTTCCAGAATTTACTTGAAATCCAATGTGTTTTATGACCTCGATCTTCTTGAAAGGCGCATCGGTTTGCTTATTTGGCATCCAATTAGCTCATACATCTCTCGGTTGTGACCGCCAAATTTAAATTTAAGAATCAATGCTATGAGCAAATACAAAACTTTTGTGTCTAGTTGCAACGACAATGCATCTCGTTGTGCTAAAACCCATTTTTTGATCTCCAGTGAGTTTTCATTGGCTAGTCGTGGTTCGAATTCCCTAATCCTCATTGGTCAGTTTAACCACAAGTGTTTGAGGTTAAATTCAGTGGTTGACGGCGCACCACCGTTAAGTCGCTATCGAGAAAATGCCCATTTAAAGCGCTTAATTTTGTTCTCCTGAGCTGTAAACAATCACGTCGGCGTCGGCATTCTAATCGGGTTGTTAAAATAATCTGTTCCAGTTGGAGGACAAAATGTGCGCGTTTCTTGGGGATTTGTACTACGCTAGTTTCATCGAATGCGGTTGAGTCAGGTTGAGAGTTTTACTGCAACGCCAACAACCCGTGTCTAATCGACGTGGAATTGAGTTTGAACCCCTTCAGTAGTCATTGGACTGCCGTCGAGTTGTCGCGGTGTCAACAATTAGTGTCCCTGCGTGTCCGATTTGCTAAGTAATTCTGCAGTTGATGTTACTTTCGACGATAACACCGCCACTGTCTGGGTCCGGGCGAGTTGGATCTGCATCGAGTTATTTCAGGCCATCACGCTTGATGCCATCGGGCACACGAATACCGTCGAGCCTGTCTCGTGGTGCGGTTGATGCGTTGAATTGTCTTCGTCCCGTATGTGTGAGTGTGCGATTAACTTCTCTGTACCGTCACTCGGGCGTTTTACGTCAACGAAGGGCTGTTTTTCTAGGGCGTGATTGACAGCCCCGGAAAATCCGCGGCCTTCTCTCGTTATTTCTCACTGATGACAATAATTGACAGCTATTCAGCGCAGAAGCCGCAACTGTCAATTAAAGATTCTAGTTGTGTTAGAGAGAGAATGCGAGAAAATCCAGCATCTCAACTATGCCGCAATACATCGGTTCGTTGTCTGGGTTCGAAGAATGGCCGCAGGATGATTCAGCGGACTTATTTTCTACGTCTACTCAATCCGCGCTCAAGCTGAGTCAATTCTTGCGACCTCGAGGCATTCGTGGACAATGTTGAAGCCGTCTGGCTTCGGAGTCGAGCTCAAAGGTGTCCACAAGTTAAGTAAACGGGTTCGGGGCTCGATTGAATAGAGACCAACAACTCCGCTTTCACGCCTACAATCTTCGCCGCAGTTGCGGTTTTATTTAACCACGTTCTGAAGCGACCTGGATTAAAGCCGCTTGACGCATTTACTCTGGTGACATGTTGATTAATTATTTATGACCACAACTTCGAAATGACCCAAATCCTGGCGACGCGCTGACAGCCATGTCCCGTGGTCCACCTGTGGTTCACGCGTCGAGTGAGCGTGTTTGTGGACGTCGTCTGTGGCCAGACGTGGTTGACAAGACGCGCATCGAATCCCCTCGAAATTGTCAACCCATGGACGAAATTGCATGCTGTGATCGGCCTATTAGTAAACCAGGCGGATGAGTAGATGCTGAGCAGTTTGTGGTAGGTATGGATCACATGGGAATTCTCGCTTCCTTACTAGACACAAACCACAGAATCCTGGGGGGTTTGAAACTTGTCGAAATCTGGTTTTGTAGGGTCAGAACTGTGCTTTACCTTGAGAACCCCTGGTCGACTCTGTTTTGGAGCATCTATTCGGGACTTCGAGCAAGAGCCAAACGAAACGCCTGTCCCTAAATGCGGGTAGACTTGTCAACCCTCCCTCCCCCCTGGACGCGCATTCGCCCCGTCTGTCTGTCTGTGTACATGTGTGCGTGTTTATCGCTTTGTGGTCGTGAGGGTGACTGCTGTCATCGGTTCCGTTATTCATGTCAACATTGTCACACATGCACACGCACACATAACATTATCCCGAATTTTTGGATTTCGAAGGAATGATAGCTATTCTAAAGGTGCTAATTGGGGTTACTCGACAAGGTCCTAGTGCTGTTGAATTTTCACGACCGAAGTGGAGAGGTGTTGGTCGTCGTCGTCGTCGTTGTAAAAGACGACGTCCATTTTGTTGGTGTAGCGCGTGTCTCGTCACAGTAAAGGGAGTTTCTCGGTATTGTGCAAGATGATGTCGATTACGAGAGTTAGCCAGCTGTCAACGGGCCGACGCTGCCAACGACAACGACGACGCCGCCGCCGCTGCCGCCAGAACGATATCGCACGCACTCACGCACGTACGCTCGGACGCACGCACACATGCTCGGATGCACGCACGCATGCGCTCATATTGTGTTTGAACTCGTCAATCACTCGCACGCCCATGTGCGGACGTGCCCTTCGAGTCCACCAATGACACTCGAGCGTTTCGCCATTTCCACATTTCATGCACGCACGCACGCACATACGCACTGACATCACGCACGCACACGAAGACAGCGTGCGGGCATAATGCGAAAAAAGAAAGCCATCACATCCGCGCACACGGGAGTTTGACAAGTCGGCATTTCGACAGCCTCCCTAACACTCACACGCACGCGAGCGTCCCTTTGTGCTTTTACTGAATTGCGTATCGCAACGGGCAGGGTTAGGGCAAAACGCTTGAAACCACCACCATAAGCGCGCGCAAATCATTGCTTATGGATGTCGCCGTGACTTCAACATCAAAGGTGGTAGTGGTCACTGAAGCGAAATCCGACTGATGCTAGTGGATAAGCCTATGGTTTCTTTCCTTTCAGAGTGATGCTCCACCGTGATTGTCAGGTTTAATGAACGTCTTGTCATCTTCGAAGCCCTCATCACTGCCACCGGTGACATCAACGACCCCATCTCCACCCCCAACGACGTCGACAACAGCGCCGCCGACCACGAAACAAATGACGATTGGTATGGCCTTACCTACGCCGCCCAGCAAAAGCAGGCCGCTAGATCTCTCTGCAGCGGATCGAATTATTGCAACTGCTGCTGAATGTCCCAAACTCCTCAAAGCGGAAGAAATGGTAGTTGCAAGCGATGATGATTGTCCGCCGAAGTTGGAAGGTGAAAAGCCCGCAGATACCGTATCCACTGAGGCCGATGGTGAAAAAGTGGAAGTCGAATGCCTTCAGCCGTCGTCTCCCAGCAAGTCTGCACAGTTGGAGAATCCGGCTTCGAAGCCTGACGAGGTTTCGGCGCAGCTGAAGACGTTGACGGACTTTTTCAAGACGCTCGCGTCTGCCTCGAATGCTGCTTCAATGACGCCAGATACAACTGCCTCATTGTTGGCGCTAATTGGAAAGAAGGCGGGCAAGGACGAGGCTGGAAGCGATCCACTCACTTCCCCCGGTTCCCTTGAAGCTCTGCACCAACTTGGCTGGCAGTTGATAAGTCTTGGACGAGGCGGCTCTAACGCACCACCTATTCCACCTCATCCACCAGCTCAATCAACCTCAGCACCAATGTGGATGCCAGCACACACTCTAACCAGCCGATCTGCTCAACAGCCCCCGGGGGTTCATCCACCGCCACCATCTTTGTCCGGGATTTCGATGCGGGGAAATCAAAAGTACAGCGCCTTCTACCAGCACAACAGGAAGCAATCGCCCGAGGAAAGCGAGGTGCTACGCCAATCAACAGTCTCGCAGTTCCATCGTCTGGGGTTTCCACACCAAACCATGAATCGACGCTGCAATGGACCATCTGTGTCGAGCCACGGTCGTCCCCTCTACCCTACTCCTGTCGTGTCTGCAGAGACCGGACTGAAATCGTCATTGAATCGCCTACAAAACGAGGTTGCGTCGCCACCACCACCACCGCCACCACCTCCTCCCCCTTCTAGACCAAGGGAGACGGCATTTTTGTGCAGTTGTAGCCAGGATTTTGATAGTCTTTACGTCTTCACTCTCCACATGAGGGACACCGGTCACAAGCCTCGCAGTAGCCAACCAGAGCGCGATATCCCGAAGCTGGTCCGAGGACAAGATATGTGGATTAATAGTGAGACCGAACAGACCAGGGAGATATTGCGATGCATGCGGTGCAACCAGTCGTTTAGAAGCCTGCCTGAACTGACCATGCACATGATGAAGACCAGCCACTACTCGGAGATCGTCTACAGCGACGCAGGAAGAAATCTACTAGCAAGTCAGACGTTCTCTTCCGTGGGCGACCGCAACAGATCGGGTGGTCTGTCGAACAACTGGAGTTCGATGAAGGGCTCGAACGCCAACCTTAAGCGCTCTATGCGTGGCAGTGCAGCTTGCCAGAACGGGGTTCCCCTGTCAACTGAAACTACGAAACCACTTGAGGTTGGCGTTGACGAGAAGGTGAACGGGCATCCGGATTTGCGGTCAGCGAAGTCGCCGAAGTTGGAGGAGCAATCGAGCCAGCCGAAGTGCGAAAGGCCTGCGAGTTCGCATGAGATGCACCTCGTGAAACCGTCACCGAAGCCCGCAGCTTCCCCCGAAGCACTGTCTTGTCCATCCGAGTTGCAACGTAGTGCCGCTTCGTCTCCCCGCAATGAGGCTGAGAAACACGACCAGAAGTACCTCAACTCCCCTGCATCAAGCCGCGGAACTGCTAGTCCCAGGGGCACTGAGGAGGACGCCACGAAGAGGAACTGTTCGGACAGTGTCATCCGGAAGATTGAGTCGTTTGTTGAAAAGAGCCTGCCGTTTCCAGCCATGGCTAGTCCAGCTAGGCCGAGTTGCCAACAACGCCAGTACCAAGGCCTGCCAAAAACCGGCTTCACGAGGCCAAATCCCTCTTCAGTGGAGGAAAACGAGGCAAATCGGTCAACGCCAGACACGAGTTTCTCCCGAAAGCGACGCTTCTTGAGTGGTTCCTCAAATTCTGTTGTTCCGCCAACAGTCAACACGTCACTAGATGCTTCCACGGAGAAGCGATCTGCGCTGCCCTTTTCACCAGCTCCAGTAATGGATGTTATACCGTACGGCAACTCGGAGAACCCCCTATCCTCCCTTCAGAAACTCGTGGAGACCACTCATCAGGCGGGCGGTAGCACGGGTTCTGTCATGAAAAGTCCGCTTCGTCCATTCAGTCAGGCTAGTGAAATCTCTCCCGCTCCCTCTAACCACTCAAACGACGTGGAGACGTTAGCTGCCAATATGAGTTCTTGCACCTCCTCCTCTTCCTCGGCCACGTCTCAGCAGTCGAGCATCGCGGTGGCTTTGTCGGCGCTGCAAACTTTCATGACAAAAGTCTCATCAAACACTCAACAACAACAACAGCAGCAGCAGCAGAGGCCATCAGAGACGCCGAAGAATTTGGACTTTATGCTCACCTCGAACGGTGAAGGTGAGGCCGCTACCAACTGGATGAGTCTTCTTAGCGCCGTTTTGAACGCAGCTAAACAGTCTGAGAGTGAGACAAAGCGTTCAGATGCTGCTGGTGGCACCGGCACGAATGTGCCATCACCGTCTAAGTTACAATCAAGCGCCGTCGGAATGTTCGATCCGCCGCCACCTTCGGTGTTTACAAGTGGAGCCTTCGACTTTAACTGTCCAGGGAAGCCGCCATCCCTGCCCGTCCACATGACCGCCGCGCCGATGAGTCCAGCCGGTGCAAGCATGGTCGCAAACATCACCAAGAAGGCGAAGTGTCACTTCTGTGGAAAGCCGTTTGCCAACAAAGGTCAAGTGCGTCTTCATATAAGCAAGAACAAGTGTCCATGCCTGCTTCAACAATCGGCGGCTGCTGCCATGGCGAAGCCGCCTCCTTCCACGCCACCTGCCACTGTGGTTTCAGCGTCGATTGGCGAGAAGCGACCCATGCCCTTCTCGTATCCAGGCTTTGGTGCAGCCGCTGCTGCAACATGCGGAGCAAATCCTGGTCCTCTGGGGTCGGCAGATTTGAACCGTCTACTTGGAGGGCCACCACCACCACCAGCGCAGCAGCAGCAACAGCAACAACAGAGGCCTGTTGATACGAAGCCGTCGGAGGCAGCAGCGCTCGCGGCGTTGTTGCGACATTTTAACCTACCCCAACCAAGCCGTCCCGTGGCCGCGACCCCATCGACTGCGCTCAAACCGACGGACCTCCTGGCGACGCTTGCACGAGCCACTGGCGGAGGAATCGACGCCAATTCGGCGAATCCCCTCTTGTCTATTCTCTTTCCTCCGACTGCTCCGGCGCCGCCGACGCCGCAACCACCGTCTTTGGACACGACCGGTGCCAACCTCACTCCGGAGCAGAAGGCGCTGTTCCTGTTTGCTCAGGCTATGGTCTCATTAGCTGTGGCCGCGCCAACCACTAAGCCAGCCGACGAGTTGCCGCAGCCGCCACCGCCGCCAGCAACTACTTATCCCCTCGCCAACTTCCTGCAGAACTTCAGTTTCCCTCTTCCCATGCCCCCGACCTCCACACCAGCCTCCGATGCCGGTCTAGCGCCGATTAACTCAGAGGTCCTCGCCTACTTGAACGCTATTCGACAGATCGCCTCCCTGGGCAACGCGTCCTGGCCTCAACCGACGCAGCCTCCTGCCAGTACGACCACCTCTCC